GTGAGAGTGTAATTTCCGGCCATCTAGAGATGCCCTAATCATGAATTTTCTTACCTCAGCCCCAACCATGGTGGGGCTCAGGTGGGTGGTTCCTCAGTCTGTGAAAGTCCCTCCCTGGTTCACCTCTCTTTCGAATTCCTGGATCTACCACTGTCGATTTATTATATAATTATTTTTGGGCTTATTTATAATGCGTCTATTGCAATTTTCACTTTATCCTCTCAAACAGTCCTAAGAACGTTCAGAGTGCGCTACTTCACAGGGGGATTTGACCCCGCCGGGCTCCTACGTAATTCACATAACGGCTTCCCTCCTGGCTACGTTCTTGATACTATTTAGATCAATGGATGTAATGATTTAGCAGCCCGCCCTACCATTTAGAGAGCCTGAAAAACTCTATAGACGGACAGATATTGATTTTCGCCTTTAATACTATTTAGATCCATGTATGTAATGATTTAGCAGCCCGTCCTACCATTTTGAGAGCCTGAAAAAAACTATAGACGGACAAATATTGATTTTTGCCTTTAATAATTGTAGGCCTATGCATTTTCCGCTTGACCTCAGGTGGTACCTAGGCAATCCTTAGAATATTGTGTCTTTTGATCGGTCTGGTTGTACACCTCATCGTTTTTATGAATATCAATGTAAATAACATATATGTCCATACGATATGGGCTTGCCTCTCAGGGGCAGAACCTGGATCTTTTTTAGATGCGAGATGTGGGGGTCTACCAAAATGTTCAGATGGTTTAAATGAACACCTGCCTCTGCCCCATCATTGGAATATGGTCCCCATATTGTGCGGATGAAGTTGATTAAACGGATATTTGCAAAGGTCTTAACTTATGCCAACTTATGGGTATTATTTTAGTCATAAAAAATATGCATGGTGGTAAAATTCTAGGGGCCTTGTTACTACCGCTAATGTAGATGCAACAGCTTTAGATAGTAATGTAGTAACAACCGTTAATGCAACACACTCCACAGCTTATGTAGTAAAACCCCCGCTAATGTTGAAACCCCAACAACTTGTAGTAAAAAGAAAATCAATCCAAGCTAATGTAGAACGTTCAACGGCTAATGTAATAACAAAAATTGCCTCACATCTTAATGTAACTACTATCGCCAGCTAATGTAGAAGAATATTGCAATTTTACAATACCATTGGCTGAAAAACATGCGAGGAAGTAAAATCAGGTTGTCTGCAACTCTCCACATTTTCTAATGGAAAGTGAACCTGTGAGGGCACGTTTTTAAAAATGACTACATATACCTATATGATATCGGGTGCTCATCTCGGTAACCACTAATCAGTAAGGCTTAATAATGGTCTCACATTGTTCATGTCGCAGTCTGTAGTTCCCCATTACATTTAACATAAGTTTTTCCAATTTCTGTTATTCTTATTGGTTTAAAATTTAGCAGGCAGTTATTAGTGTCGGTCGGTCATTCATCAGTAGGTGGGTCGGTCAGTCTGTCCGTTAATCGGTCGCTATTTCAATTTCTATCTGTCTTATTGATATCAAATTTTAGCAGGCAGTCCATCAGTGATGTCATTCGCTTAAAAGTATATAAAAATGAACCAGAAACAATGTAGCCACTTAAGTAAACAGCGAGATAGAAATGCCTCCCCTTCGGACAAACAGTGCCCCTTTTCAGAGCAAAATATAAAATATATAGCCCTAGCCATATCAAATATATATATAATATGATGAATTGGTGGTGGCTTAGTGGTTATGACGTGTATATGTACTGTCTCTTATACATACAACCTTCTTCAGCGTATAAGTGTTATAATATATATATATATATATATATATATATATAGTCTGAGATTAAACATGATGAAGTAAGCCAAGTTCGTTTTTGCAGTTTGATTATAAACAAAAAAATCTAGGCCTACCTAATTTTCAGGACACGTGAGCTGAATTTCCTTTTTGTTACAATGGGAAAATTAAAAAATCGGGAAAGCTCATTTCCCGCCATCTAGGAATCACAATTTTTCCGGGCGGTGGGGGTGGGGGGACCCTCAACGGTCCTTCTTTTTTGGGGTTCATTGATTCATGGAAAAAAGAATACGTATGCAACTACTCATTTTTTTTTCTGTGTGTACTAGTACTGTACACACATAATAGGCCTATTTACTGTAATAAGAAAGAGGACAAAATTACCTGAAAGTTTACAAAAGGGAAAAACCTTAAATTTTGAAGAACTTAATAATTAAAGGACACTTCAAGTCGGGAAAACTCATTTCTCGCCATCTAGGAATCAACATTTTCCCGGGGAAGGGCACCGATCCTCCGTTCTATTTGGAGTTTGCAACTACTCAATTTTGCTTATGTACGTATACACACATAAATAGGCCTCAGCTTACTGTAATAAGAATGAGAAAGTTTACCTGACCGCTTTCAAGAATGAATTTTGAAGAACTTAAAACACACCTCAGAAGATAGATAAGTCTAAATTTATATTAAACTATAATGTGTAATGGGAGTTACATATTATTAATGATTAATGTGGTTGCTGCAGCTAGATTAAAACACCGTGATATGTATGAACCATTTTTGCTTTCAATAACTGAATCTCTATGAACGGAAAATACACTGGACTATACAAGGTCGGCTCATATATAGCGCGCAATGGTTATGAGTCTCGATATACCTCGCTATTACCATTGCAGCAATAGTTCGAATCTCCACTAACGTCGCGGGGTAGTAAAATTGGTTTTCATCACTGCATAGTAAAGTGTTTACTGGTGTTTTTTTCTATAGATATGGTAAAGCAGAGTGGTAAATATTGGCATTAGCACGTTCTCTTACAAAGCTTTCAAATTGTGCTAATGCTACTATATCAGCTCTTGCGTTATGCATTCTTAGTCAAAGTGTTAATCAAAAAATATCGCACACTAAAGAATTCTTATCGAAAGAGTGATGTGATGCATAAATCAATCAATCAATGGATAGTAAATGCCAAATCAAAATGATGTTACATAAACCTGTTGTTTATTCATTTATATAAGGACATGGCAAATTGAATTTATAAAGTTAAATTGATTAATTTTTTTATTCAATTTAATCAGTTGATATAATACAAAGACCCAATGTAATTTTGTGAAAATCTCCCAAGCTCTATATACACCGTGTTGCCAACATTAATTGCCAAAACATAAAAAACAAGATACTCATTAAATCGGTGAACGAAATAATTATTTAGTGTGTATTAATATTAACATGCATGAAGGTTAGATGCCCACCCGTAGAATTCTCCCACTCAACTCTGTAGGCCAACTCAACTCATGCAATGTTGCATTTAAATCATCCCCACCATTCCGTCACTAAATCTTAGTTCACATTAGAGCAATATACACACACTAACTCAAGCGCAAGTCGCGTTTTAATCGCATCTGATCTTGGTTTAATGTATACGTATGAACCAAGCCCGGCGCCTCACTCTAGTGTTTACTATTTTGAAACCGTAACAACAACACACGCGTAAAATATAGGATATCCGAATGGCGCGCGCGATAAGGAAATGGTAACTGAGTGACGAATACCGCTTGTCACGCGCGGAGTTTTGTAACTATAACAACCGCGTTTGCGTGTCTGTAATCATTGTTGTCGTTTGAAAACATGCACATTGAGCGAAGTAACAATGTCTCGTTAAGTTCTGCCCTAACTAACTTCAACATTACCCTATGAGCATGGGCAGGCTACACTCATTGGATATGCATTTTCTAATCATAAATTAGCCTACCATCTACGAAGACAGAATGTCACAAGATACGAGTTTGCCTCAGAAGCCCAGCTTGACAGGAGTGAGTACCGACATGGACGATGATTGTCATCATCATGGAAGTTACTTCTCGCTTGGCGGCAATGAAAAGAGTGTTGTGGAAATGCCGGCTTTACCAGCCTGGATGATCAACACCCCTATGCACAGCAAGCTACCAGTAATCGACGCACCGAAGGGCAAGTATGTTCTCTTCACAACAGGACTTTGCGAGAAGGTATGAGAAAGGCAGGTGTAGGATTAGGCCAGGCCTAGTATTATTAAATAATTATTAGTACTTTTTTTTAGTTACTGTACGTGTAATAATAAATAAATTTAGGCCTGTCATTTTTATTTAAACGGTGATATAGGTCTAATAATAAAAAAAAATATTGATGGTGATGATGGTAGGTATAGTAATAATAATAATAATAATAATAATAATAATATTAATAATAATAATAATAATAATAATAATGATAATGATAATAATAATAATAATAGTAATTAGGCCTATATATTACATAGGGCCTAGTATTATATTTACAGATATCATACATATGCATATTAAAACAATTTTGAATTCTTCTCTTGTAGGTATATCTATATATAAGTATATGGCTAATTATATAGGCCTTATAATATACATGTAATACGTTGATGAATTGATTGTCTGAAAAAGGTACTCACATTTATTGGTTTTGAGAGAATTATTAGAGACATGAAAACAATTCTAAATTATGAGTTGTTGGTCTATTTCAAGTTGAACGAAAATTGCAAATAACACAAACGTGTGTGTATATATATGTATATATATATATATATATATATATATCTGTCTCTTATACACATCTAGATGTGTATAAGAGACAGATATAAAACATCGTTACTAAGATGACTATTCTAAGCTTTTTATTAGAAGTTGCAATTCAGCTTTAATGACACTTGGCCATTTAAAAGATTAATTCATCATCTTACATCCCGTATATATTTATTCTGAATTTCAAAATTAAAATAAGTTCAATAATTCAGTAGCGGCAAGTAATCAATTTTGAGAAGCGAATCACTGATTAACCGACTTGTGCATTAGTACGCTGACGTCACAGAATTACGTTGTTGAGGTAACAACAATAGGCCTAGTATGAACATTGTCTAAATATCTAATTATAAGATTTTAAAAAATATATAGTTTAAAGGGGATGATACATGTTATATTTTACAGAGGACCATTATCATCGAATCCGGACTTGCGTATTAAGTCATAAGTCACTCTTATTGGTCAATCAAAACATTTAGGCCTACAAAAACATTTACAGTAAATCGGGAAAAAAAAAGAAAACACAAAAGTGACAGAGAGATGGCCAAGAGACTACATAAAGGCTAAAAGGCCTGTCATTGTAGCCCCTTTTGACATAATAAATAACGAAATTAACTGTTAATTTTTTAAAGATTTTCAATAATGTTTTGCTTAATAAATAATGTTTCCGTGCTCCATTTTAGGCAAAATCCGGGTTATATCCGGTAAAATACATATATGGTACTATGTTTTCATGAGATGAACCGATATGTTGACGAACACATTTTATTCTCATAGCTTGACTGTTCATCTAGCAGTTTGGATTTCGACGCTAGTCCACAGACCATCTCAGTCGAATACAAAAGCCTACACGATCCTCATCTTAAGTGGCATTACAATAGCACTGCTGTCTATAAACGCCTTGTCAAAAATGGTTTCATCACATCTGACGGGAAGGTAATTAATTACATCACCATCATGATCGTCGTTGTTGTCGTCGTCGTCATGATGATGATGATGATGATGATGATGATGATGATGATCATCATCATCATCATCATCATCATCAATAACAACAAGTACTACTACTATTACTACTACTATGCATATTCTTACAATGGAGGTATTTTTATACCTCCATGTTGCTAAGTTTAACTTAACATTACCCCTCAAGACACACCCTTGTTAAGGGGACAGCTTATTTGTCCCGAAGTCCACTTAATAGCTATAGGTTTGTATTACTACTAGTTCTAGTACTACTACTTTCCACTATCAATACCAACAACAAAAGAACAATAAAAATATTATTTCAATAATTAAATGAATTAAATTAGAAAATGGATTATAACAACACTCAATTTATTGTCATTAGAATGATATATACATCGGTGCCAATACATTTATATCGAAATTAATTAAAACCCTTTCTTCTTTTACAACGACGCTGTACTTATTCCATAAACACCTTATTCAATTTATAAACAATTTTTAAATGTACAGTATTAAAAAAAATATGTATGTAAAAGTGAACTTATTTGGAATTGATTACCAACAGGTAATATGTACATTAAAAGAATTCAACGACTATCACCAGTATCTGAAGCAGATCCGCCTCTCAAAGATCAAACAGGAACGGAAACGCATGGCAAGTAGATTTATACATGAATCAAAATGTTATACAAAGGAAAGAGCCAAGCCTCATCCCCTTGAAAACGCATGACGGTCATAGTTCACTTTGATTGAAATGCGTTATACGCAACGTAGCTCAACTTTTTACAAGATACCGCCACATATTGCGTTTCTGCGCTTCTCCCCTTGGTTGCGTTTCAAGCCAGGCACTCACTGTGTCGTTCGACGGCCGTACGACGAATCCAACTCCGCTCCTCTTGAGTGCAAGACACGCGCGCTGTCTATTTTCGGTGGCAGTCTGAACGGATCAGTAAAAGAGATCCGTTGCGTGCGCGTCGTGGTGTTGCGTTCTCCATAGAATCGCGTCGGCCGACGACTGTCGGGCGGTGAGTGCCCGTCTTAAAACATGTGAAATAGTCGCTTCTTTTCTTTTGCTACTGAATCGTCATTGAATCTTAAGGCATGCTCAGGTCGACAGGGAACTCAACTCGACTCAACTCAACTCGTCGACATGAGCGCTCCGCGCCACTGAAAGGAACTGAACGCAACTGACCGCAACTGAAGGAACTGACAGTCACGCATATTTGTCGACATGAATCAAGTTGAGTTGAGTTGAGTTTAGTTCCTTTCAGTTGCCCAAGTTCAACTTTTTGCGGAACTGAAAGGAACTAAAGCGCGAAAAAAATGCCGATTCGGAACTCAAAGGAACTGAAAACGTTGATCCTGATATTAATCGTAATCAAGATGCATTAACTGAAAAAAGATATTATATTACAATGTTTTGTTAACGACAGATGACTTTGTATTAAAAAATATAGACCATAGGCCAGGTTTTTATTCTAAAGGAATACGTTCGTATTTATTACTATGGTATTACAATAAAAATATTAAAACAAGACAGAGGGGCATTTTATCTATGGCTAAATATGGCAATCTAGAACAGTAGTAGCCTAGACCTATTTTTCCAGACGCGCCTCTAGTCTGGGGACCTATTCAAAATGTTCTATTCAATGCCGCCTGGACTAGACTAGGAGAGCCTATTCTTCCAAAATGTTTCGACCTGGCGAACCTTTGCTAAAAAGGTACACTTTCTCCATCAAAAGGAATGGAATGACCTGTTCGAAGCACGAACTCCTGTAGACCAAACCCAGTACCGTTTAGTTCCTTTCAGTTGCCAGTCGACATGAGTCAAGTTCCGTTCAGTTCCTTTCAGTTGCTCAAAGTCGACATCAGTTCCGTTCAGTTGCGTTCAGTTCCTTTCAGTTGCGCGGAGCGCTCATGCCGACGAGTTAAGTTGAGTTGAGTTGAATTCCTTTCAGTTCCGTGTCGACCTGCGCCTGCCTGTAGAAATTTTATAGTGGTCTGCAATCGACCGATCCCTAATGACAAAAACTCTAAACTTCAAAATAACTTCTATGACATCATTCAATGTCAATATTTTCTGTCCCTCCTTTACAAAAACAGTTGGAAGAAAAACAGAAAGAGAAAAGAAAGATTGGAGTTAAGAATAAAGAAAATGAAAATATCCGGGACATTCGAACTAGAAATGCAAGAGAGAGGAAGAAGAAACAAGAAGAAGACAAAGAAGCTAGGTAATAAATATTTTTGCATGCTAACAGTCTAACAGCCACGCATGATTAGTCGTATACATGTATTCGGTTAGAATTAGGCCTATCTAAATTCTAAGGTTTGTGTAATAATTTGCCTGGGAGAGAACGAAAAAGTTGCCGACAAATTCCCAATGAACGGGGACATTGCGCTACTCCTCTCATAACTTTCAGCAAATCAGCGTTCTTAAATCTCTCTGACCCTGTGCGAGACGGTCAAAATTCCGTTTTGTTTTAGTGTGCACTTAAAGTCCAATTAAAATGATGCTTTTTAAGTTGCTGATTATTGAAGTATTACATGTTTAACAAATGTGTGGTAATAAAATATTTAATTTTTGGTTTATAAATATTAAAAATGACGATTTAAAATATTAGTATAAGCCCCGCCCACTAGAGATGTTCACTGTTTGAGCACCAGCGATGTAGCCAGGATTTTGAAAGGTGGGGGGGGGGGGAGCCGTTATGCGAATTACGTATGACCCCGGCGGGGTCAAGGGGGCGAATCCCCGTGAAGTAGCGCACTCTGAACGTTCTTAGGACTGTTTGAGAGGATAAAGTGAAAATTGCAATAGACGCATTATAAATAAGTGAAAAAATAAATATATAATAAATCAACAGTGGCAGATCCAGGAATTCGAAAGAGAGGTGAACCAGGGAGGGACTTTCACAGACCGAGGAACCACCATGGTTGGGGCTGAGGTAAGAAAATTTATGATTAGGGCATCTCTAGATGGCCGGAAATTACACTCTCGCACTTCAATTTGAATATATTTTTCTTTTTTTTCCTTAAAAAAATGAAGGGGGGGGGGGTGCCTTGAATCCACCTCTGCTCAAAATATTCTTTATCCAGAATAGTCATAATCACGAAAAATGGACATGAAAAACCAGATTACAACCTAAAAACAAACAGCAGTCACTAAGACATACATCAGGAGCCGACTCGATGGAGTTTAATGTCATACCCAGGGAAGGGCACAGATCTGTTTGAAAGGTGGAGGGGGAGGGCATTTTGTGAGTCGACACCCACCCCAGCCCCACAATGGTTGGAGTTGAGGTGAGAAAATTTGAGGAAATTGTACCTCTAGATGGCCAGAAATGACCATTTTAGTAAAATTCATCATCATCACATGACCATTATTCAAAATGAAGCGCCAAAAAAAATTCTCATGATCTTTTATCAGGGCTTTTTAACAACCATAGAGATCTTATTAATGTGTGTGTGTATACCATAGAAAACAAAGCTTAAAAACATTGTCTTTGATTATGTACTTTACATAGGCCTACTTCAAAAACGTGATTTCACAACCACCTAAGCCCCACCCTGTCTCTTATACACATCTAGATGTGTATAAGAGACAGAAACAATTCTCATGATCTTTTATCAGGGATTTTCGGCAACCATTATGTGTGATGTACAATAGGAAATAAAGTTTATAAACACTGTCTTTTAGTACGTAATTTACATACTTCAAAGCCGTGATTTCACAATCACCTCAGCCCCACCATGGTTGGGGCTGAGTAGTATCTCTCGAGATGGCCGGAAATGACACTTTTATATAGTAAAATTCATCATCATCACATTACCATTATAGTCAAAATGAAACGCCAACAAATTTCTCATGATCTTTTATCAGGAATCTACTTAATGTCCAGGACAACTTAGGCCTAATTATAGCTTACTAAGCTTTAACTATATATACTATAGTATGATCAACAAATCACAACTTTTTTTTCGCATTTAGCACAATTTTCTTAACTTTTTATTGCTATTAATATTATTATCAATCATTATATCCTCATTATCATCATTGTTATTATTATTATTAATATTAATAGTAGTATTATTAAACAAACATGATCTTTTATCAGGGATTTTTGACAACCACAGAGATCTTATTCTTATTAATGTGTGTGTGTGTAATATACCATAGAAAAAAAACGCTTAAAAACATTGTCTTTGAGTATGTACTTTACATAGGGCTACTTCAAAAACGTGATTTCACAACCACCTCAGCCCCACCATGGCTGGGGCTGAGGTGAGAAAATTTGAGGAAATAGTACCTCTCGAGATGGCCGGAAATGACACTTTTATATAGTAAAATTCATCATCATCACATTACCATTATAGTCAAAATGAAAGGCCAACAAATTTCTCATGATATTTTATCAGAGATCTACTTAATATCCAGGACAACTTAGGCCTAATTATAGCTTACTAAGCTTTAACTATATATACTATATTATGATCAATAAATCACAACATTTAGCACAATTTTCTTCAACTTTTATTGTTATTAATATTAATATCAATTATTACTATCGTCATCATCATCATCATCAATTAGTAGTAGTATTATTAAATAAACATTTAAAGAAACTTGCAAAAGGATAAAAATGAAATTGAACCACGGTATCGCATTTTTATCTTAAAAGACCTGGCCTGAGATTTATGGATTTAAGATTTTTTTAAATCACGCTTAGGCCTATGTGTTCTATTAGGCCTATGTATAACGTGTACTGATGCATATTTACATGTTTAGAAGTATCCATTTTAAGTGATCCCAGGAAAGAATTTGTATTGGCTCAAGAATAAGCTTTAACATTTCAACACTGTGTACAAAGGGGAGGGGGGGGAGCTGCGGCTCCCACGGGATACGTCCCTGTTGAGCACTACTAATACTGTCCTACTCTACGCCCGCGGATAGGCCTCATAGTAACTGCACGAACACTCGTCAGCGTACGATGGTTAATATTATTAGTAATTATACATTTTTTAAGTCTAAATTAGCTTACAGTATGTATATCAAAGTTTATTTTGCAACATTTTTACATTACAATGTAACGTAGAAGCTGAAATTTGATGTATTGTACACGGCCTAGCCGGCCTTCGATGATGATAGTAAACAAAGCCGATTCGGCGATCATCATCACGTCACATCATAATTGCCTGGTTGTTTTTCATGTTCGACTACAATAAAAAGCTAAGTTTTTATAAAAGCTTAGTCTTCCGTGCATTTAGGTCATGAGTTTTAGCTGAAGCGTATTGCTAATTAATATTAGAATTATTTCTGCATATCAGCATTATTCCTGCATAAGCACGAACACAAAGGCCATTGAACTACTATGAACATAAATGATTCTTCTTGCATAATTGTGACTACATGTAGGCCTATATCAGTTCTGTCCATACATCATTTAATGATTGACGTCAAGTTCCATGTACTCCGACTGTGTAGGCATTGGTTGCATGTAATTGTTTTCATCCATAGCAGTCATATCATACGTCGGGTTGTTGTGGCTACCACTAGGCCTACTAGCATTTGGTGGTTGGTCATACACTTCGTAATCGTCCTCAGTCGAGATTGCGTTGCGTGGTATATCATACATGTTTGTGTTGGTATCCTCACTGGCTGCGGGATTGCGTTCAGTCATCTTCGAAGCCGGAAAATGCTCTGAAGTAAAAAAATAAATAAAATAAAAACCACAATTATGTAGCGTTACTATTTTGTGGTTTATTTTAGGCCCACATGATTTTTTGCTTAAACCCTTCTTTGGTCAGAGCTTCCCTGTAGGGTTAATGGGGAAAGTTTTTATGACTTTGAGAGCGACATGGAGAGTGTTACGTACAGAGAGGAAGCCAAATTTTGGGGTGGGGTGAAGACCCTTGACAATGGCGCACCTTGTAATATAAACCGTTATCTCAAGATGTTTCGTTAGAACAGTTTAAGATGAAAAATTTATACTAATTATGACGTAAATTTCCAACTTTAAATTGGCTCTTTTGACACAGAAATTGTGACACAGTTTGAACAAGTAGTTATAAATACGAGATTAAATACGCCTAAATAAGTGATAACGTTTAGCCGGTCTACCATTAAATCTAACTGGTCCTTCAAGCTCTGATTTCAACCACAGGTACTCATTGGCCCTAAAATGATTGGATGTTATTATGAAAAGAGAACATTATTATAAGGCCATAATAGCAAACTACATTTACTAAAATTCCGTCTTCCATTTTTAGGTACAGTTAAAAAAGTGATTAAGTTTGCTGTTTGATAGGTGGCCTTTTTATGTAGCCTGATCCTTGGATGAATTTATAAAAATATCAATTTAAGTACAGGTTACCGTTTCTATTGGTCTGGTTCTCTCCTGTGGCAGTGCATTTTCTCTTCTTGCAATATAAAAGTAATGTTATCAACAACGCTATAATGATAATCGATTGCGCAATTATCACAGCCATATACACGTACTCTGGAATAAAAATGTATCTATATAGTTATGTGAGTATCGTCTGTGCATACTGAAAACAGAATTTTAAGAAATCAGCTTGGAAGTTCTCATGCAATACCGGTACATTCTCTCTCGAAATATTAATAATGCTGTCCTTTTCATTTATTACGCAGAAGAAATCAATTCGTCTCCAACCTGTCTCCCTCTCACCAAACATTCCTCTCAGTACGCAAAAGAAACCAATTTTTCTCCAAACTGTCTCCCTCTCACCTAATATTTCTCTCAGTACATTATCACAGAAAAGATGTTTAGGTCTATAAAGCTTTGTTTCCATACAATCGCTACACGCTATAGCCGACAGCTTTCGGTGATGCTGGTTGGTCGGTCGAATCGGGAAACCTTGCTTTTCGTTTGCGTCGGGGACTGCTACACAGTACAACGATTGCACTGAAAACACTTTAGCGACAGTGTAGCGATTTTATGGCAACCAGGCTTTCCGTATTTATTAAATTTAAGTTATTGTTGTTAAAATGATAACAATTTGCTTACGCTCACCGTTGCATTGTAGAGGTGTGTTGACAGGAGCAGAAGTTACAGAACCTAAAACACACAAGTTATTGTCATTTTCATTGATTATGCAAAAAGAAAACCTATCCAACCAACCCCCTTCTCACACATATCTATCAGTATCACATGGCTAGCAGAAAATATGTATACAGGCCTACCGCAGTTAGTCGATTTTAATTATTATAATGATGATCAGAATGATGATGCTTACCGTTGCCTTGCAGAGGTATGTTGCCAGGAGCTGATGTTATTTTGGAACTTATTTTATATTGACACAAAGCGCCAGTACTTTTTAAGTTTTTATATTCCAAAATGGAATTTGTACACCGAGCATCGTACCAGAAACCATCATATGTGTCCATGTAAACTCCAGCGCAGGCTCCATTTTTGATCGTCGGTTGCATTCGCTTAGTATTCCAATTCGTATATTGCGTAGCCTTACTTGTATCATCCCATCTCCAAATATCTTCGTTCTCCTTTCGACGCAAGCCTATGAACAAGCTCGTCTCAGGGTGCACTAATTTGAGATAGGCTGCTAAACTATATTGCACATTATTGTTAGGTATAGAGGCTAGGTTCGTCCCATTATCCTCACATCGGTCCTTTGCATCTTTCCATGAAGTTTTGACGACGTTTAGGTCAAAATCAGGAAAACTAAAACTGCTGCTGGAGCTGTCGTAAAGGTTATTTTCAGCCTGTATTATCACTATGTAGCAGTTGGAATCAAGAAGAAAACCATCGCATTCTGATGAATCTACGACTGAAGAAAATTTTAAATTTAAATTAAAAAAAACATATCTATTCACCTCTTAAATTATCATTATTATGGTTATTAATACAAACATATATTAATAAGGTAAACCTACCAATATTCAATTCTTGTAGGTTTATGTAATGGTAATGGATGGCCACAGCGCATCCAATTGAGATAAATAGACAGTAGAGTGCTGTAAGGTCTTAATCTCTGTATTACAATAAGTCAGTAATTTGTGGTACACTCGACAAGTATTATATTAGGAGCAAATGTTATTACATATTTTTTTAATAACATAAACAATTAACATCTCGACGAGATTTGATTGACAGATAAACCGACTAATCAGCGAACGTCATTTAGTCACGTGATCAAACAAATTTTAATTTCCTTAGACAGCTGATTGTCACACGAAACAGGCTACGTGAGCCTAGATGTCTGTGCTTGGTTATAGCATGGAGAAAATAAAAACTATTTTATTTTCTCCATGGTTATAGATACCCAGATTTACACAAGCATTGCGTGTGACTTGGCCTTTGCCGACAACGAGGTTGACTGAATGCGGCTTTTCCCTCTTCCTTTGAAAGCGAAATACAGAGGCTTTTACAACAATTTCCCCGCCTGAGCAATAGCAAAATCAAAAACAAGACCAAAAACAAAATCAGAAATAAAATCGAAAACAAAACCGAAAACAAAAATAAAACAGTACCCTATAGTAGCAGTATAGAGTGACATAATATTGATATTAATAATACATCTACGTTGGTTTTTTCACCTAAGGTGTGATTTAAACATTTAAACATTTACTTATTATGTTGGAGTCAAAAGTTAAAATATTTAACAATAATTTGATAGGCTTTAATGAAAATAGGTTTAGTAGGCATAGTCAATAATAGGCCTAGCCTATTGTGTGCGAACCAACAGTATCTTTATATAGTGGTAAAAACCAAGGTTGACATTGTTATTGGTCAATTGATACTAGGCCTAGATATTGTATTTTCTTGTCAAGGTGGTTTTAAGTCAAATATTAGACTATTATATTATTATTGCTCTCAAAATTAGTCTCTTACCATCTGCACCAGTGATCTCGAGAATGAACAGTAGGCCTATAATGCATGCGAACACAAGAGTCCTAATCATGTTTCTTTCAGTTCGGCTTATACTTTCAGATGTATTTTTGTCCGTCTTTCTAATGAGTTGTTGTAGCGGTAGTACAGTTTCACTGGTACTGTTGATGCTCCTGAAACAGGAACTAAACGAAAGTTGTAGGAAGTGGTTGCATCACCGTCATTTCCTAATACTACCAGTATAATATTTACTCACGCACTTACGTTGCATGTTGTATTTCAATCTCACTTTCATTATTGGTAGGCTTTCCTCACGCACTCCCCATAATGTATTTCATTTTCACTTTTATTAATTGGTAAGCCTATCACACAGAAGCATCGAAATGTTATAAGAATAATATCTTTATTTCTTCCTCTTGAAAACATAAAAAAAAAGAAAGAGGAGGGGAGTCAGAACATAAGGAGGAACAGGTTGCTACCCCAAGGTTTTTGTCTGCCCATACATAAGTGTCTCAATAATTAACTCTCATTAAACATTTACATATCAAGATTAAACAAAATCGCATTCTTAAAAAAAAAGCGAATCACACTGACGTATTTCAATGGGGAGCAGGCTGGTGGGGAGGGAGTTCCACAACGCTGGCAATGGCCGAGAAATGATTAAAAAAAAACTATGTTGAAAAAGTAAAGCACGGCACACTACGGATATTTTAACAACAGAAGAATTAATAAAAAAATTATGAATTATCATAATAAAAATGGGAATTGTAATATTCAAATGGGGTATTTTTTTTCACATCATTCGCAGACTTAATGAAATGTTAAGTATTGAGACATTGAGGTTCATCCGCCTAGAGGAAAAAATTAGATTGAAGCAAAAACATCAGAAAACCTCGATGAAAATGGCTCAGGAGAGAAGGAATGAATTAAAGGCACAGCAAATCATAGAGGTATGTATGATATAGCTTATTTCAACAAATTTTAGCACAGTGAATTACTCTCAATTAAATTATTATTATTATTATTATTATTATTATTATTATTATTATTATTATTATTATTATTATTATTATTATTATTATTATTATTATTATTATTATTGATCTATATTTTACACATACCGTGCCGTACTTCAAGCAGGGCTATGGCCTATGCTTACATTGTTTTTTAGGCCAACAAGCCGAAGGAGCCATTATTTTCTGAAGCCCGTGGGCCTGAATGCAATTTTTGAAGGAAATACAGTTGAATTTGCCCTAAATCGAAACCAAATTGGCATTGAAAAATTGTTTGACTTAGATATATTTCGTCTTTTAGATAGTTAATTAATGGGAAACACAACAATTTGGCATCTAAAATAAGATCGATTTAAAAATTAATCGAGTAAGGCAAAGTTAACTTAGGCAAGTTTAACTAATGGCTCCTAAGGCGTCTATTTCCTTAGTGTACGAAATTGGTTTACTATAATTGCTTTATAAGTCAGTTGCGACGTCCATCACCTTTTCTATGGCCCTTTAATCAAACTGCTGGTTGTAGAGCGGTTGCTATAATTATTCGCAGCTCTTCGCGATACGAAGAAGATGAATAAATTGATCGTGGTTATTGAAGTTTATTAGAAGTTATTAGGTAGCCATTTGTTTAATAGATTGAAAAGTTTTCTAAACTTTATTTTGAATTTCAGAGTTTCCTTATTTTTTCTTTTAGTCAATCACCTTGTTATCTCATAACCATTCATGATGCCTTTCTATGTCTAGGACGGTCTAGGTTTCATTCGTGTTAACCAGCACCATCAAGCGAGATTTGTTAGGTTCGTTTGTGTTCATTAGCTTGGCCTAAAAACCCAATATTCCATCGAGATGTACTGTAGTTCTTGCACACGAGACGCAAAAATCGGGCGCACTATATCGAATTAGTGATCAGTCAGGGATTGGAAAATTCAGTGCGCATGAAAGTGATGACGTCATCACTGATTATAAATTGAAATAGGCTTAAAGGTGATGACATTGAGTGCATATTCACATTTTTGCAGTTTTAAGCATAAGAAATCTTGTTATGAATAAAAGTACTGATTTTACATGTAAACTTTTTGTAACTGAAATTACCAGGAAAAGAAGCGGAAAACTAAATTTATAAGAAAAAGAAGCATTGAGGATAAAAGAAGATCAGAGAAACTGGAACGAAGTCATTGCACAAAGCGGGAGGAGAGAGAGGCAAAGGTAAATGGCATGTTTAAAAGTAAAGGAACAGAATACAAATTTCCACCCTTTTAATATTAAAAGGATAACAAACAATAGAAAGCTGAATCTGAAGTGCGATTAAACTAAAATTAGGCATAAAAATTGCACTTTTTTCTATGCGGATTGTACTTCGAACGAAAAAACAAAAGCTCTCTATTTTAATAACAGGCTTACGAGATGATTACAATGATCAATCACATATTTTAGAAGTAGGTCTATAGAAACTATGTAATTTAAACGTTTGTGTTCTGTTTTGCAGCTTGAGAAAAAATGGATCTTACGCGAACGGCTTCATGAAATGCGACTGCTCAGCGAAACAGAAGAAAGAAAGGCAAGACAACTCATTATGGCAAAAAATATATCTGAAAGGGAAGCCTTGGTGGAACAAATGAGGACTCGTCAAAGAGGTTACTTTTTAATTTATAGTTAAATGATTAGATAATTTCTTTCTGAGAGAAAGATTGATGTGATGGAATCCGTATGCGCCGAATTACTTACCTGCAGATAATTTGTCATTTTAAACTTAACATTACTTTGTTGCATTAAGGCCTGTTTATGCTTGCAACGATAACGATAATGATAAAAAGCTAAAAAGCAATTGTTCATATTTTGACAAATTAATTCCAATGACGTCATAATCATTAAAAAACGGTAAAATCGTTGACACTACTACGATTTTATCGTTTTTCCATGATTATTACGTCATTTTAATTGATTTGTCAAAATATTTTGAATCACGATACACGATAAATCGTTATCGAATCGTCCTAGTGTAAAAACTTGTTTCTTTTATTTTATATGAACAATTGCTTTTCAACTTTTTATCGTTATCTTCATCGTTGCAAGTATAAACAAGCCTTAACGCAGTAGTCGTGACAAATCACTTCTTAAATTACAATAGGCTACAGTGTTTTGTCGAGTGTGCCAAAATAAAACGCGACACATACATATGAACTCAAAGTAAACATGATTCAATCACTAGTTCTTCCTCCCACTTACGTAAACTCACTTCTATCAACATAATCTCAGTTAATTCGCCGGTTTAACCAGCTTAAATCAATCAGTGATCAATTATCAACTGTTTTGAGTTAAGTCATTTGTATTACAGGTGATTTTTTTTGCATAATTATGCATTCCATGTCATATTTTGTTAAACTAGCTTCTCTATTAATACACAAATATTTGAAGCACTTTGTTCATATTTTTGATGATATTTACTCCTTTGATTCCATAATGATAATGGCTTTACAAATACTGTACTACAACCATATCTCATTGTGTCTGTACGCAAGTCTTGTGGTGTTCTGTCAGAGTAATATACTGTGTCCTTAAGCCTGGTTTCCCTATAATCGCTACACGCTATCCCGACTTTGGCGACACCGACTGTCGGTCGAATAGGGGAGCCTTTCCAATGGATTCTTGGCTCATTTAGTTCTAATTAACTAAATGTGTGTATTAATTGTTTAGTAAACTTCTGGGCCAATTCAATGGTTTATAACATATGTGTTTTCTTACAGGCGTTTTTAAAAAGATTCAAGAGGATCGAGTAAATCAATTAAAAGCAAGAGAACAGCTGCTTTCAAAGGCTCTAGATATAAAGTTAAAAAAGATACAGGAAAGGTTTCAGAAACGTAACCAAAAAGGCAAATATTTATTATTCTGATCAAAAAAGGTTAAAAAATACCAGTTATTATATTTAAAGAAACCGTTTATAAATGTTTAGGACTTGGTAATACCATGGAGAAAATTATTCCTCCTGGTAATACAGTACTGTAGTAGTAATAACCATAGAACCTTTCCGCTATGGTCCACACCTTGAATATTGCTGCCAGGTTTCACAAAAAAGACAGCGTTAGCGTCGGTAAAAAAAAAAACGTTTTAAATGGAATTTTTTCATCAGGAGAGAAAATGCCACATAATGGCATAGTCTGATAACACAAAAATGTCATGCTAACTGTATTTACGGAGGAAGACAAAAGAATAATACAAAATAGACAAAATATACCGTAAAGCTTTATAACATATTTACTGACCGTATTTTTTAGTACCCAGACCAAAAGCCGCAAACTCTTCACGTAGATCTCGCTTTTCAAGTACTTGGAGTTTAGAAAGGACTCTTAAATCACATGACTTACAACCGTGTGACGATTCGTGGATTCAAAAACTGAAGGTGAATATAGTTTTATGCCAAACTCATGTATGAAGAAACTTAAATCACAAATTTTACACTGTATAAATTTTTTTTTTTTTTAATCGTTGGCAATAACATTTGACATATTGTTGACATGCAATTGAGTGGGTTTGTTTTGTTATAATCTCAAAATGCTGCTAAATGCCTCATTGAAGGATGTAGCACTGGTGCTATATTTATGAAGACGACTGGTGCTTGAGGTTTTTTTTTTTGGTTTTTTTTTTGCTACTTCGAGATTTTGGTGAATGTTCTTAGTGGTGCAGCGTGGAAGGTGTCTGACTTCTGATCGTAAGACTGATATGAAATTGACTATTATATATTTCCATATCCATACAATATCCTTCTTTCCAGGGTGTAAAATGTGACGAAACAGCGGACGCAACTGAGCCGGAAGATATTCAACCAATGGAGAGTCATGGTATAATTTCAAAAACTTCCACACAGAGTTCTGTCAGCAGCACACGAGCAGATATTTCAGTAACTGATGTTGATTCTCGAAAAGCGTCTGTGACTGGCTTCTACACAGTAGCAACAGGTAACGAATGGGGTGAATTAGAATTTATTTTTCTATTAACCTTTCCATGTATTTTAGGCCTACTGCGGGATGTCCCCGACGATAGCAAAGTGGGCGTGGTCGGGCGTCGCTCAAAATCTTTCGAAATTTAGAGGTTTCAAAGGCATGAATAGAGCAAATGAATGATGCCGTCAAGCCACGTTTCAAAATGTAATAATCGTAGTAAGAGGGACGTTGCTTTCGGTTTTTTAGGAATGACTGAGGAATCTCCCAAACACCTACCTAAGAGTGTCGATTCCATAGCGAGAGGTCTTATCTGCGACGTCCTGCAGACTGTAGCCGAAGAGGAAGGATATGACGGGTATTATCTTAGCCCACGAATATCACCAGCCGAAAGCGACAATGACGTCGTTAACAGGTAGGTATAATAATAATTTTATAATAATTACTGTAGTTGGAATGACACTTATTCTGTCAGTGACAACACTTCCAACTGTAAGGTTAGTTAAATAAAATACAGAGTAAACGACAATGTTATTCTTTATCAGTAGCCTATTATTTATCAACAGATCTTTCGTCAGAGCAAAGACTACAGACGGTGGGTCAGATGGAGAGGTATTGGAATTTTAACAATTGTATATAATTCTATATCTTTCACTTAATACGTTTGTATCTCAATCGTTTTTCATTGTCATATAAATTTATACCTTATGCACAGTTAACTATTAAACTTTAATTATACATAATAATAATAATAAGCAAGAATTATGTAGACTAGTCACTACTGTATTTATGTATAATTAATTGAAACATGCTGAATTAAATTATGTAGGCGTATAATAATTATTCATTAATAAAATAATGATAATTATAATGATGAAGATTATGATGTCATGATGATGATGATTTTAGTGATAATGATAATATAGTATTAATGATAACGATGACGGCAATGGAGTCAAATAGAAAAGTCTTGTTTGCAATTTGTATTAATTTTCAAGGACGACTGGTACGCAGCGGCAAACAACATCGTTGGCCAGGCTATTGATGGTGCCATTGGGTTTCTTGAGAACAACCCTGAATTGATAGAATCTTCACAGAGTGGGACCTTATCCGCAGCTAGTGAAGCTCGAGATAACATCCGACGTCAGAGTATAATCTTGTCTTCTGTAATCAATATGATGGACGATACTGGCTTAGATCTCCATTATGTCTCATCTTCAGAAGACAATGCTACTGATGATGAGGATGAGGGTGATGATGACGTCATTGGTATAATTGACAATACGGTATGTAGGTTTGTTCATGTAAGGCGTTTCCGTATGTCGCCTTCATTATAATATTTTTGTATGTTGCTATGGGTTGATACAAAGCGGAGAAAAGAGGCTTCAGATTAGAGAGATCATGTTTTTCTTTTTTCATGTTTCCGTCTCTTGCACCTTGACCACTTTTTAAGTGGATAATGTGCGCTATATAAGTCGTATTTATTATTATTATAGAGTGATGTCAGTGCAATTTTATATAAAATACATGTGACATACGGTTAAAAAACCATATGCCATTACCTATTTTTTTACTAAAATAACTTATGATTATTGCCAACAAGCATTTTGTACCCACTGTGTTGTACAATAATGTCGTCCTCAACTACCCGTTATTGAATGCTATATTAATATTTGTTCGTTTTTATTTCAATGTCAGGGATCATCTACAAATGGAGACGGTGATTGGCAGGTAGAGGACAGGCCAGAACAGTCTCCAGTTCCATCAGCTAACAACACATGTAGGCCTATCGGTTCACGGCGAAGATCGATCAATGAGGCCATTCTGGCACCAGACACTCTTCGTGGGTTCCATGAATTAGAAGCCGATCGAGCCACATCATCTCTGCAAGCTCTGCGATTGGGAGGTAGTATGAGGAGATTGGCTATTGAAGAACGAAGCATACAAAGACGTCATACAGTACCAGACATTGTTCCAATTTTTAATGATGTACAATTGAATATTGACAAGAATACCATTGATTCCAACTTGTGTGCAATTTCCGTCAAACCGAACACATTTAGTCAAGTGGCGCATACACCAATTGAAAGAAACTCTTTTCGTAACATCTTTAAACCTGATATGACACTTTGTAAAGGCACGGCTGACGCTCTTAGGGGAGTTTTGACTCAGCAGCTATCTCAACGCAGAGCGTCCCTTAGAAGTGGAGATATTGAACATGCTTGTGATGTCCTTGTTGAAAATCCTGACGAAGAATCTCATCATCAGGAAGACGTCGTTTCAGTTGAAGAAACTGGTGGGTTCTGTTATTTGCCTAAACGGACACATTATCGACATTCCAAATTAGACGAGATATCCGAGAAAGTGACTGAAGAAGCAATCGAAGAGGAAGACAAAACACAGGAAATCAGTGACGAAGAACTAGAAATATTTGCCCAGCAAATGGTTGCTGATGTTTTAAACAAATTGAAAAATGAGGTAGCAATGGCTAATCAAACTGCAAGCAATGAAGGTGAAAATAATTTTCAATTTCGCTTCGGTGATGATGGTGTACGGCACACAAATCACGAAGTTCACACTGAGGTCATCAATGGAACTGATGATAAGCCAGTTGTTGTTGTAACTACAGTGTCTGCACGCAAAAATGTTAATGATGTTGAGTGGTATGAAGAATGGCTTCCTGGTCCAGATGATATTCAGAATAGAAAGTCTGTAGACAGCAGAACATCTAAGAGGACCAAGTCAAGAGAACATTCAACAATAGCTCGAAGTAGCAAAAAAAAGAGAAATACTTCAAGCACCAGCCGTCTCAGTAAACGAAGCACCAGTGCTAAATCCTTTAAAGAAGCATTGAGAAGCAACAGCAGTAAGACTCGTGTAGTGTCATCGGAACCGATTAAGGCTACTGCCTTGACTTCTGATGAATCAGGTTCTTCGGTCAATTCACGGGTCAGACGAAGGTCGGAGAGCTTTATTTCTCGGTTTGTGTCATCCGTCAGAGATTTTTTCACGTCTAGTAAACATAAAGCTGAAGCGGAGGACGATGAAATAACTGTATTAGGTGATGCTTCTTCTGATATTCTTAAGGATTGTAGAATCAAATCAGAGGAAATCATTGAGACCATAATTTGTGATTCCAAAGAAGGGACGCCGTCCATCCACAATGATTTTGAAAGTATTCATAGCGAGAAAGATGCCAAAGAGTGTACCGAAGTTAAATCTGAATCTGCATCAAATGAACAGTCACGTAAACAAGAGGTATGCCACCTGGGTGAAAGGATTTTAATTAATTTTATCAATATTAATAATCGTCATAATTAAACATCACCATTAGCACAAAATTAGGACCAGTCAGTATGGCCTATTTAAAATTAAACTATAGGGTTCATATGACGAACCATCTCTCTCGTAACCATCTCCATCTCTCTCGCAACATAGGATTTTTTTTTATGTTCGTCTTTATTTCTTTTTAATATATACAATATAATATTTTAAAGGGCTTGTTCTTACCATTGTTTAGGTCAATGGCATATTGACGAAACATCCGTCACAAGTTTCTGAACTTGGTGTCAATAAACGAGCATCTGATTTTCCAAAGGTCGGACACAAGGAAGCAGTTGTATCTGAGTCTGGCGCTGTGAAAAATGGAACAATGTCACCTGGAAATAATGATCAAACACAGGAGCAATCCGCCGACTCAAAACCGAATTTGAACGACGACAGTCGAATAAGCGAGTCCTCAAAAACCTCATGTATTTCTGTTGTCGGTACCAAAAATGAAATTACAACAGAGGATGCCGATGCAATACGCAACGCACTACAGCCAAGCCAAAATATAGAGACCACTAAACCGTCGAAGACACCACCATCTTCATCAGCGAGACTGAAAGAAGAGGTCAGTTTAAGAATGAGATATACCACATTTCCTTTTATTGTGATAAAAAATGATGGTTCTGGTGACGTAATTCTCTGTCCAATCATTTCTTATAGACAAAAATCTTTGATTTGTCCATGTATAGGTATGATGTCATATCACACAACTGTCACACATATTACGGGCAAATCACGATAAAAGTATTTGTCACATAAGATTTGATAGTCGCGATTAATTATACTGTGTATATTTACAGGAATGTAGTCAGGTAGAGGGTAAACCTTCACAGCAATTAAGTACACCCAGACCCCCTTCCAAAAAGGTAAGAACTGTTTGGTAAAAAATAATATAATTCAGTAACATAGTTACCAACCCTCTCGCATCGTGCGGGACGGCCCCGCATTTCTAAGTGATTTTGGTTGAAACACGCATTTTGCAGAAACACATGCGTCATCATAAATTTGTTAGGCATTAGCACTAGGTTTATGCGTGATAACGAATTATCACGAATTCAGGGGAAATTGTATTTAGAATTATAAGAAATTGGTTTTATTAAAAATATAAAAACGGTCATTGAGTACGGTAACTTGAGTCATTAGACATAGGCCCTACGTGAATACTTAATTCACTGACGCGTTACCGGTACTAAAAAGTGATCAGTGTCAGTGATGGCGTCAGGATCTGCCCGACAGGGATATAAAGGCCCCGACAGGGGGA